TATTTTTACAAATTAATAATAATAATAGGTGATAATAGGTGCCTTCCATGAATGTTGAACCAAAATGGCTCCCAATGTTACTCAGTTTCTTTGAAAAGCTTTCTCCTATTCATTTCCTATGGGAAATTTGTCATTTTCGTTAGCAAAATATGTCGCCATGGTAACGCCAATTGCCAATAAAACATCTCGGAGCCGGGCCGGTCGTTTGGATATAACTTTTGTGGGGGTCCACTTTGCGGTTCGGGCCGCATTAAAGTTGAAAAAGATACGCTTTTCAGGTGTAGAATAATAAGTGGGCAGTCACCAACTAGTTCCTGGAGTTGGTGAAATATTGTGTCTTTGTTTGCAAATTACTTCGCCATGGTAACTTGAAATGACAATTAAAGTAACAGCACACATCACGGGACTGAGCCGGTCGTTTGATGGGGTAGACGCTGTGGTTTGGGCCGCATTAACGGAGACAGAAATGTAGACTCACTTCTGAGGTGTAGAATAATAGGTGCCTGCCATGCATTTGCATGGCAGTCCCCAATAAAAGTGAACGCAAAGATGGAAAATCAAACTTAAGAGTAATTTTAAAGTATTTTTCTTAAGATGAAGAGGCCTAAAAACAAATATACAAGAACGACAAACAAAATGAAATGAGATGCTAAAGAACTGAAAGTAGACATGAAACTTTCTAGACCACAATGCATTGCAAAACACTAACTTTGAGCATGCACATTGGCATCTGTTAAAAGATCAAGAGGTAGTATCTGAGCTAAAACCAGCAGAATGTGTCCATTGATCCCAGTGACGGATGTCTGCAGTTCACAACTGCAAACATCCGTCATCTTTGCCTGCCTCTTCCTTTTCGGGTCACGGGGGTCACTGGTGTCCATGTCGAGCAGTCACTGTGGGAGAGGCGGGGTACACCCTGGACAGGTCTCCAGTCCATCACAGGGACACTTAGAGACAAACGAGACAAACAACCATTCACTCTCTCACACCTAGAGACAATTTAGAGCAGGGGTGTCAAACTAATTTCCACGGAGGCTTAATGGTTGCCCTCAAAGGGCCAGATATAAATGTAGCTAAACTTAACTAAATGTACAGTAATGTAAAATAAACGCAACTACTCCTTATTGGTAAATAACTTTTTTTTT